TAGCGCTTCTTTTTGTGTACATTGTTTGATTTGATTTGGTTTGGTTTGATTTGGTTTGGTTTGGAGGTGCAACGAATGTCTTTTTTCGAAATAAGTGAATGTGACAAGCTGCTGTGAACGAAAGAAGAACGTCGTCACGTAGATATTTTTATGACAATGGCCACCACTTCCCATTTACGGATGGACTGATTATTATACATCGGAATGGATTCATAGCACTAATAGTGACAGCACAACATCTGTATCGCTCGCTCGCTTCGTTCGTGTTCATACTTTCCATGCGATTTCCACTTGAGTTGAAATCAATACCGTGCCATTGTGTTTTGTGTGAAATGTGACTTGGGATCGCAATGAATTCTCGTTTGTCACCTGTTTTACTCTCTAATTGTTTGAAATGACATTCGCGACGCGACTCTTCACTCCGCATTTGGCTTATGTCGACGGCGAACAAACAAAAATGTTCACAAGCGTTTCGCTTTTATCGATTTTGTAGGTCAACAATGGTTGGTATCGGTTGTGCGCGATCTGACAACGCCAAATCACTGGAATGGCCATTGTTTTTATGGTTTAGAATTGCGAAAACAATTAACAGTCTCTCACAGTTCGTCCGCTTTTCTACCACCGAAGTCAATTTCCATTCAATTGAATCCAGTGAAATTCTGGTGAAATTATTTTTAATTGTTTTTTTGCCTCAGTTGATGATCAAGATCAAAGTGATGATTACCCAATCTTTTCGAAATCCAAGCAATTTTCACATGTAGTTTTTTTTCTCTGTACATCAAATGGCCATGTTTCAATTTCTCTCTTTCTAAACTGCTTAATCGGTAAGTAAACACAGCTATTGAGCTCTCTTCCTTATTGTTGGCAAAAGCGCCAATTTACCGAATCAATGACCGGATTATTTCGATTGAACATAAGAAAAAAACAGTTTTTCTTCAAACAGCAAACGACCAACCGGAATTTTGCCAATAATTTCTGTGCAAGACAATTTTCAGTTAGCTACCGCTGAACAAGGCAAAAAAAAGCTGTCTCCGTTTTGTGTACTCCAATCTCCAATCGTGAAATGTTTTTCTTTTATTGCTGACTGCATATTTCAAAATGGAATTCGCAAATCGCATCAAACGTCTAGCGGTTCTTTTAGATTGGATTTTTTCTGAATTAGGCATGGCCATACGACGATATGCGATGCAAACGTGCTGCAATCAAGAGAGCAAGCATTACAACACATCGTGCATCAGGCCAAATGTTACCTCATTCATTTCATTTTGACGTTGGCAAAATGCGCAAATTGTCAATTCCAAATAAATTCAATCGTATGACCCAAGCATTTAACTTTATTTATGTTGCATAACGTCAATGCAATTTCGATGCACACACAACATGCACACACACACACACACAGAAATGGCATTCGAAAAATAAATCTATATCGTATGTAATCCGTTGTTTTTATTATACCTGTTTGCCAAACCACTGCAAATCTATCTATCGATACACTGATCGAGTCGCATATACCGTAATTAAACTGTTCTGAAATTGTGCACTGAGATATGTGCGACAACGACGAAACCGACTCGCTCAGCAATGAAAACAATGTGAATTCATTTATCAAAACGAAAAAAGCAATCGTAAAATATTCAATACCGCAATATAAACGAGTCACAGGCTAATGAAATGTTAAGCGAATGTGCCAATGTGGTTTGCGTTGCTGCGGTTTTCAATCTAATTTCGAAGGGGATTTGTCAACCGAACACTCACATTTAATTGAATAGTTTCGTTCATAGCATTTTTATGTAGAAAATATGCTGTGAATGAAGAAGTTCTTCCTTTTTACTTCTCTATCGAACAAAAAAAACGCCAAGTGTGATATTTTTAATCTCCATTTTGATCAGATGCGAACACTTGAGGCTTGGTTCTCACATTTATAAATTCAATGGGCTCCTATTTATGTTTATTCATTTTGTTCTTTCTCTAGACGAATAGAACATCATTAAGAAAATTTATGCAAATAGCCGTTGCCGCCATTCAAACGTATAAATCAACGTGTAAGCGTCAGTCATTCAACATCACTTGAGTGACCATACCATTTTAAGAGAAATGTTGAATGAGAGAAGAAGAAGAAGAACGTCGACGAGTTGCTTGTCATTTTTTCCTCTCAATGATCAACGTTTGATTATCATCGGCCACGTTAATGTATTTACATCGATAGCAAATAATGATGTTAAGCGATCAATGAGCTTGAAGCAAAGTGTGTGCGTTTTCCATTGACGCAATTTTATTTTAATATGCACGTTTGAACGGAACCAGCTCTTATGCATGTTTATATTTACAATGTTTCTTTCCTTCGGCTGTGTTGTTTTTTCTGCTCCTCCATTGATTTATGTTGAGGTCATTGTGATTGTAAAGAACGAAATTATTATTATCGATTATTGAACAAGTGTGGGGATTGTTGTGTGTATGCGCAATCGACGAATGAATATGTGATTTCAATTAAATTTTGGTTGGCTATTTATTTTATTATAGCCATGCCATGTTGTTTTTCTAAAGTTTAACACAGTTTTTGAACTGTGCTTGTAAACGCCACTCAGCATATACGTATGCTGAAGGTTCCGACGCGTTACAAAACCGAATAGCCTTGCGCTGTGGAAAGGGTGCCGAAAAAACATATTATAATAATTGCTATCGATCATAATCGAAATAATCTTAGTAATAACTTGAAACATTCCACAAATTCATTTCTGGCCCAACAAACTACTCGATATCAAATTAACAGAGTTGTTTGCTGATTATTTGAAATGGTCATCTCATGTTTGAATTTGATCCAAATTCTGAATTCGAATCTCCGGATCGATGGGCGTTCGTTATGGATGTGTGTTAAGTTTTGAAAACTTTTAATGAAACAAGACGATTACGTGACATACGAATCCAAATAAAGTAAACACTTTTAAATGTTACTATCAAAACAAACATAAATGAAACACACCGGAATGAATGAAATTCTACCATTGATTGAGCATTTGATGGAATTTAACACGACTGCCGTCTAGTTTTTGAATGACTTCATAAGCCAATAAGTTCTGTTCAGTCGCCTTCTGATGTCTGACAGGCCGAAAGAGCAAAAAAAAAACTTGTTCGACACACCGTTTTCAAAAGACCTTGATTTGACATTTAACGATGAATATCGGCAAAACAAACGAATTGCCTAAAAATAAAACATGGAACTTTTGATTTGTGTTGCTGCCATTGTTGTTGGATGCGCGCGCGTTTCGCTTCCTTTTGAACGAATGTGTAATTTGATTAATTAACAATAGCATCATTTAAATATGTGCGATCAGTCATGCTTGATATTGATATTAATTTTGTTTTATTACGACTTTTTGGGAGCGGCTTCGAGTATGCATTATATAATTGCCATTTCGAATCTGCTCAAACGAGATGGTGTTTGAATTTGGTGTTAATTTAGTCATTATTGAGAATTTCATTTTGAGATGCATTTGAATTTCAAATTGAAGCTTAAGTTCAAGCTATCGTCTATTCACTTCATCATTACATATCCTTTCATTTGCATAACAGTAACCTCAATTGAAATGCATCCATATGGAAATTTGTGGACTTAATTGGTTGTTTGAAACATTTTACTTAATTATTATGAATTGGAAACGCTTCCACCATTGATTACGTGCGTATCGACACGCACATCTAATTTTAACACACACGATTTGCCTCAATTGAATGGAACATCAAATGGAGAACGCCAACCATATTTTCAGCCGTAAATCCAATGTGAATCAACAATTTGATGCAACAGAGCCATCTGATTGGCTATAGACGAAGCAATATATACGATCGATGGAAAACTGTTTATGTAAATTTATGAGGGCTCTTGAGAAATAAATTTCAATCAAGTGAAACTTTCAATCGATATTTCCATAAAATGTTTGTGTGTCTTGGTCCATTCAAAAATGTTCAAAGGGGATAAAAAAACGTATCATCTTTTCGGCCCACAGAACATTCTTTGAGAGGAACCAAAAATTGTTGCATTCGACTCGATTCAAATTCGAGCATGAAACATAAATCGGATAGCTAAAATGAGTGTATCTCGTGCACCCACATGTTTCAGTGGAATTTCGATTTGATGCTTTCCAATGAAACCGCACGGCATTGCGCAGATGCGAGTATTGCAACCGTGGATACATTCAATGTAATCTAAATAAAAATAGAAAATATCGCTTAAAATGTTCACTTGAATCGTGAGTGTGTGTATACCAAATGTACATGCTACGAAGCGACCGCATCGCATGAATGTTCATCGAAGCATATTCTCGTAATTCTATACTCAACGGTGTGTTTATTACACACATGATGAATGTGACGGTTTGCGTGGCATACGTGTATGAGTGTGTGTGTGTGTGTGTGTGTATGGCGCTGTCATGCGTATTGCATTTTATTACGTTTATGTTTTGTATACTTTGCGTTCAGTTGAGTTTCTCTGAATGCATTGCGTTTTCCACCAAATGTCGATAGCATGGTGTATACGGGGGCACATATGAGCGTGTTTTGTGTGAACAGCACAACACAGCACCAATACCAATGCGGATAAAACTGACAGCAACACGGTTTTTATCTCTCATTTGCGTGCATTTCTCGTATAAATAGCCAAAACATTTCTCCTTCGCGCGCGTTGTGTCTTTCTCTGTTGCGCGCATATCGCGCCCGCATGTGAACAGCAAGCACAATGAACCTTTTCAATGTATTGAACGTTAAATTTCAACGTTCAATGGTAAATTCTTGACTCTCTGTACACTGGTGTGTACACACAATCCATCCAATGTACACACATACACACAGCCATGCATGCTGTCGTTTCTTTTTCCCTCTCCTTCTGTTTCATTCGTTGTATTTGTCGGTCTCGCTCGTTCCATTCCACTGTTTTTGACTCTCGCAATATCTCGATGAAGTTGAAGTTTTTTTTTTTCTTCATTAAAGCTGAACAACACACAACAGTCAAATGAGAAACGAAAAAAACGTAGGGCGCGCCATCATCATTTTCTCAGTTGCGTTCGATATATTTTTCATAATTTGTTCGGAAATTGACGGGAAAAGTTCGTAAAATTGTGCAAAAATCACCAATGAATATCATTGAATTGAAATTGTGATCGAATAAAGTTCAACGGCTTATCGTTTGCTTCGAACGAATGTGGTGTTCAGTTGTGAAATTCTGATAAGAAAATGTTCCATGGACGAGAGAGAGTGTGTTACGCGAAGTGAAAAGTACGAGTTCTATTCAGTAGTATGCGAAGTGAGAGTAGCAATAGTGCGTTCATACGTGCCACAGTGTACAGTGTGCAGTATGCTTGATAACGTTAAACCATGTAAACTTATTTAAATCGAACGGTAACGTTGACGAATACCGAACATTTGCTATGCGATTTTTCAGTTAATATTCAAACGACATTGAATCAAAGTGTGAAAAAGAAAAGAAAGCGCTTCGTTGCGATGAAATTCAATTTTCGCATACGCATTTAATTTCATTAGGAGGCGAAAATTACGCACATTCAAAGTTTCACAATATAATAATACGACTTTCGACAGATTAAGCGCCCTCGAAGAAAAGACTATGGAAATATTCGAATCGACCAGACGCCTTTAATTGTAATCATCTGATAAATTACAGCGCCTTTTCTCGGCGCTCTAGAGCTATTATCCTTTTTGTCGGCAACATTCAGCCAACACATCAACGGCGTCAAACGCGCGCGAGAGAGATACGCAACGATAACGTCTTTCAAGCTCATTATCCAGCAATTTTATCAACCAAACCGTGTGCATCAAACTCACTCACAAGACATATCGGCACGAAGAACATCGATACGCATGTTCGGTTTTGCGGGAAAAAGGCACGTTTTCCAAATCGTTCGCAAAATCAATGCTAAGAAACAGAGCATTTTCCGCCATCGCATGCGAATCACTTCCATTGTGAGTTCAGTTGTTGATATGTAAGCAACCTGATTTTCGTCAACCGAATCTCGTTACTCTATCTCTCCCCCTCTCATTGTGTTCGGTGATATCGTGAGAAGACTTTTCATTCACAAGGAATTTTCGATCAAGTTGAGCGCAATCAGAGTGCCGAAACGCGTAAACAATCAATAACCGAAGTGAGCTGAACAGAACAGCCAATGTTGTGTGTTTGTGGATATAAATAGTTTAACAGTGACGAAGAAAAAAGAAACGTTGAAAATAATGAAAGGGTTGAACACACATTTGGTTGAAATCCAATGGTGAAAAGTGAGTGCGTCTAAGCAATTTCAGTTCATCGATAATTTGTGAATGATTTCAAACTGAATAATTTAGTGTGTGTTAAGCGCTAAAATTGTGTGCAAACTGCCAAAGTGCTTGTATGAACAGAACAGCCTTCAAAACTATATATACACATATATATGTATGTTGGTTTCACATTCAAGTGGCATTTGTTCTAAATTCGAATTCCCGATTTGGATTCGGATAGTCAAACTACATTTCTGTAGACAATGTTGGCGATCAACACATTATTCACATTCGACTGAAGGAATTCCATTCAACTGAAGTACAAAGTAAGAATGCCATATTTTGGCGTATAATTCAAATGACAATCATTCTATGGTTTTATGTATAGAGAGAAATAACACATCGGTTGACAGTTGGACTGCTCATATTCGCATTCATATCGAAACAAAACATGCCCAAAATTTGTTTGTATTCAATGCATACATAATTTCAGTCCAGTTCAGTTGAGTACATTTATTTTGTAGTATTTTTGGCATTCATTATTCGAGTATCTTGTGGAAGTGCCCGTTTGAACAGTTACGATGTATAGACATTTTTGCATGTATGCGAGAATAACAAAAGTGTTAACAATGAATTGTGTGTAAGTGTAAATGTCGAACAAATATATGCGAATGCAAGACAGAAAAGGAGCGAAAGAGCGCAAAAGACCGATTGAGACTTGGTGAGACTGAGCTAACTCAACCAGCCACATGAAATGAACATAAAAACGATACATACGGCACGTAAACTTCTTACAAACACGTTTACAATAAAGCAGAAAAATTGTGTAATGTTTTGTTTGCTTGCGGTAGTGATGCGTAAAATACACTCATTTTTAGTCGATTCCTTTGCCGTAATGTGCCCAATGCCATTCACAGCACATGAATGCCACAGTGAATAGCAAGTACGGCTTTGTCAAAAGTGTTCACTTAGAACACTGAGCAGCTCATCTTCAAATGTTTCGCTCCATCGACCAGCTCGACGGAATATGACGACATCACATATGATGTTAAAATACTATAGTATTTTATATTGTACGGAGGTTCACCGATTGATCTTTCTGAATTCGAACGAATCTTTAGAGGCTTACATCATGTTCGAAGTTAGTAATAGCAATTCAATTTCTTGCCGATAAAAGAGAAAGAAAATGAAATTTGCCCGAGTTTCAGCCTCCACATGTTTTGACAACTTTCTACAATCACTGTGTTCGATGAGCAGCCAAGAACTTTAAAATGCTAGTTTTATTTTCGCACTCACTCTCTATGTGCCGTTCTTTTGCACTAGCCGCAAAAATTCTCGAATTTCCGCATCGAAAATGGTTTGCTATCTTGCAACATGAATTTTTTTTTTTTGTTCATTCGTTCGTCTTCTTCTTTGGGGTTGTGCTGTCGCACTTGATCTTGACAAAAAACTGCAAAATATATGTGTATGGCATATTGACATGAACGTTGTGAGTGCCATGTTCAAGTGGCTGTACTTGGAGTACATCGTGTAACTGCCACTTTGTTCGTTGCCTTCATTGTGTCGCCCGTGACATGCAATCGTCGACAAGATTTTACAAGCATCGAGGGTTGAGACGACGACACCATCATCATCATCATCATCCAAACCCATCGAATGCCCAGCGATTTTCTGTTTTTTTTTTCATTCGTTTGACATCGATTTATTTTCATCTCTGAACTTTCTCGCTTTTATGTATTGTTAAACATCATTTTGCCAGTGTAGACGAGCATATTGTAATCGTCAGTACACGCATCAAATTAGATTCACTTGCACAGATGTCATAAACTGATTGCGTTGCACTCCCATCGCATACTATCGATTACATTCATTTCTGCTTTCCAAAAATAATGATGATGTTCAACATTTTACTTGCATTTTCACGCACGTATTTTCTTTCTGAACGAAGAAAACTTTAATCGAATCGCTCATCCATCTGAATATCAGCAGAAGGAAAAAGTGTGTTCGAAGAAACAAAATTCATTGCATTCAGAGAGAAATATTCATAAATTTGTATTCGGTGCGACAATAAATAAAGTATACTATCTATCATCCCTTTACTTTGATCTTATCTGGTGAAATGTGTGCGCACTGAAGTTGTCAAAACATCATGTTTCACTTTCATGGATATATTCAGTGAATTTTATTCACTACAATAAACACAACGACTTTCTTTATCGCATTTGCGACTATTTTACAATTCATCAGTTTTTTTTCTATAAGCGCAGATTTTCAAGTAGATAAAACATATGACAGAGAGTGATAACGCATAATATCAGTTATCACGATGAAATCCAAACGTAGCAAATTGATAAGAGCTATCACTTATCATCCTTTCGACATTCACGAGACTTTTGAGATTCGGTGAAAGGGACGGAGAGGTTATTTTTTGTTTGATAAGCACTTGAAAGTGCAATTCATTTTACTTCAATTTTACTTCCGCAGTGAATAATCTGTCTTTCTAGCCGCACGAGCCAAAACCGGTGTCAATTATTATTTTCAATTTTCTGAAAAAAAAAAAAACGCAATTTTTTCTCAATACTTTCGAATTTTCACGTTAGAAATAGAAATTAATACTAATTTCTCCAATGGGTTCTCTAATCAAACAACATTTGTCACCTATTAGTTCTTTGCCTATCGCAATTTAAACGGTTTTGTTAGTAAATTTCAAATGTGTAGTGTGAATGACTTGAATGGGCGATTGACACGTGAACATACTACCTTGATCTATATTTCAATTAACCCAAATATCCGATGAATAAACACACAGTTCATGCGGTTGCCTTTGAATGAAATGGTTTTGTTTATGTTGCCAACACTTCACTGTCACTGCAATTGATGTGCATTGTTCCTATTTTCGATTCGACATTTTGCACGTTTTGCAAAATTTCGCAGAGAAGAGAATGACCTCGACCTGTTAGTTAATTGATGCATGTAGTAGCGAACGACGAGAGAGAAAATGACAACAACAAAGACAACAGCAGCCAACAGCAGCAGCAGCATCGGATCAGCATGTATATATCCAACGATAAACCATATCGTTCACATTAAATCCTCATCATGACGGAATTATCGCTAAAATGTTTAGCATCAGCATCAATAAAACACACTTTCCATGAGTTTGTCACTCATCCGTAGCGTTCCGAAACATATTGATAAAACGGATTTCATAAAATCAATAGTTATGTTGTTTTCGTCTCTCCAGCTACGTATATATATACAGCCATAAACAAGGGTTGAATTTCATTGAATGTTGGATGCTATCTCGGGAGCCGCATGCCATGGCAATCGTATTGTTATGCTTTCAATGCGATGATGAGTTGCTGGTGTTTGGAAATGCTTTTATGAGCGTATCCAGTTCATTATTCAGCATCCAATTCGTCAGCAAAGGCTGCAAATTGTTCGGATGCGTAAAAGTCAAATATTGTGGTAAACACATGACTTACAAATAAAATTTACCCTTTTCCGAAACAACCAACACCAATCACTGAAAAGTGGTTTTCGAATGCTGCAGCATGGCACGGCTCTGAACTCTCTGTGTGTAACGATGATGTTTTCATAAACAACGGATTATGAATCCACAAAATGGTTGAGCAAATGCTATCAATAGCTTGGCATCGTGCATATCATTTAGTGATAAATTAGTCGCTTTTAGTGTCGAATTTGTATAATTACTGTATGCGGCTTATGTCTACGTCTGATGGTCTGACACCAAAGTTGTTTTATGAATTGACGACATAGTGCAGGTGACCGAAGGCGCACTATCATCAAGTGCGTGTGCGGTGGTTCAGTCCATGGCCAAGAACCACCCATTGTATCGCAATTCCAAATGCATGCCATGCATTGACAAAACACACGTCTCCCATAATTTAACTTTATGCGATGACATCATTGTCAACTTTGATGCAGTCCATTAACATTCTCTAAATGTAAACGATGTAAATAATACGGTCAGTTAAGCCCTAATCCACTTACAACACAACATTGAATTTAGAATTTTATGAAAGAGTGCTTTTGTATTTGGGCTGGAATATTGCAAACTCATCAATCGAAAGCAACCGCAAATGTAGGGAGACAAACAAATTGAAGAGAAACAAAATAAAGACCGAAAAAAAATACTTTTATTCATTTTGTCTGTCGTATTTTCATTTTTTTTTTGTTGCTCTCTGTCGCTGTGCGGCCATAAACCATTGTGAGATAAGCGAAACTGTTGTTGACAAAGGTGTGAAACGTGACATCGTATCGTCTTCTACTTATTACTTCTTTTCGCCTTTGCCGCAAAACCAAACACACATTTTGTCACATTGTCCAATGTCATTTGAAAACAAGATTTGACGGCGCTTGGTTTTTTTTTTTGTTCATTCTCCTCACTTTTCGTTCCTGTTGACGGTTGCAAATTTTTGTTTTTGATTGCTCTTCAACGCTTAAATCATCTGTTTTATATGATATATTCTAATTGAAACAGCAAAGTTCAGGGCGAAAACACATTTTGTTTTTGCTGTTGACAAGAATCAAAATTTAATGACTGAGTTGGTGCCATCAAGGTTAATTGACAAGAACTGGTGGGGGCGTTAATTTGGATGTAAATTGCTAATTTTGCACAGACTGACTGTCGACGATGTGTTGCAAGCTTACGGAAGAACAATTTCATCAATTTCGTTTTCGTTTTCGTTTTCTCTTTCAATTTCAATGTTTCAGTAAAATGCATGCGAAAAAACCGCAGACGAGATTGGCTGGATCGTTGGCAAAATCGCAAAAGCCTAAAGTAAAGAAGCCAATAAAACCAAATACTGCCTCCAAACAACGTCCCATTCCGTCATCCGTTAAATCTGTTTCGAGTAAAAAACTAACAATCAAAAAATCGGCAAAAACCAAAGATGAATGCGAAAATAATGAGAAAAAATCAAAGTCATTAAATAAAACTGAAAGCAGCAGCACAACGGGCAAATCAGCATCAGCATCAGCAGCATCAGCAGCGATGGGATTCAATTCTTCCAAAGAAAAGTCGAATAACAAAAAACCGAAATCGGAAAGGAAATCCACCACGCCAATTCCACGGCGAAAAGACGAAACGGGAATCAATGGCGAGAAGAAGTCAGCGGCTGCCGTCGCTGTCGCTGCTGTAAAAGACGAGAAAATCATTAAGAGCAAAGAGTTGAAAAACTTAGATATTCAACTGTGCGGCTATAGCAGCGTGGCGGTGGTGACCCGCGAATCGACCGGATCTGACTCAGACACGGATCGTATAATAAAGGCATCGATATGCGAAAATGTGAAAACGAAGGCGCGTGCCGCATCAGCAACATTCAATTCATCGGGTAATCGGTCACCTTCCTCGGTTAGTTCACCTGGACCAAATCATTCGAACAAAAGTGCAGCCACAAACGAAAAACTCAGCAAAAATGAAGCAGCTTTAAAATCCGCTGAAAATAAAAGCGATAATAAAATGGGCAAAAAGAAAGAGACGGCCAAAGTTAAATCGCCCGCTAAACCGAAACCAACGACAAAATCGGCTCAAGACGATGAGAAAAATAAGAGAAGTACTAATGACAACAGAAAGACAGAGGGTGATAAAAATGCAAACAAATCACAAAAGGCAAAATTGAAGCCAACAAACGAATCGCCAGCCAAAGTGGTTGCACCTGTCGTTTCAACGGAGAAACGGATAGAAATCAAAACACAAGTGGACGAATCGAAATCACTTATCGACACAATCGCCGAGGCGATAAACGAAGTGGTAAAACAGTACAATGTCAGCAACAACAGTAGCGGCAGCGGTGAAGCAACAGGACCACCACCACACACGAACAACACCACCAGCACCAGTACCAAACCAGTTAAAAAGGATAATAAAATTGTGAAAACGACAAAGAAAAAAGTTTTAAATGAAAAGAAATTAGATGTAATTGAATCAGCGTCCGACTTGGTAACAAATAGTCGAGACGCAATCAAAACGATATCAAAGAATGCGAAAGCAAAACAAAAACTTGCAAATGACAATAAAACCGATGATAAAATTGGCGATCAAATTAAACAAAGCAGTGAACAGATTATGGACAAAGAAACAGCTGCCGCAATTCCGAAGGCGTCTCCGCATCAGGCATCAACCGAGGACACAAAGTCAAAGAAACCGAATGATAAAGCGAATAAGTGTGGTGGTAGCAAAGGCACAGCAAAACCAAAACCTAGTAAAAAATCTGCAAATTCCGAACAAACCGAGGCAAAAGGATCCAAGATTATTAAAATCGATTTGAAAAGCAAAAAGAAAGTCAAATCATCGTTGGCGACAGTAAAATCCGCATCATTGAAATCGGCAGCAAAACAACTCCAGAACAAAACGACAAAAGAACTGAAAGTGTGTCAAGATGATGGAAAGAAAAATGATGAGCATAAATCTCCAGCTGAACCAGATGAAATGTCTGACGACGACAATTTATCATTGACTGAGCTCAAAGCCCAGCTAAACTCAAAAAGTGACGCACAAAAAACGGAATCAAATGCGAAAAGCTCCAATGCAAGTACAAAACTAGTCAATGCTGCAAGCAGTTCAGCAAACAAACAAAATACAGCAAAAAGTAGTAACTTTAAAAAACCAACGGGTTCGAGTACTGGAACGGGCGTTGCTGCTGCTGCTGCTGCTGCTGCCACTGCCGCTCCAAAAAAGAAGTTAACAAACCAAAAGGAAACTGGAACAGCAACAACGAGCAAATCAGATGTGTATGAATTTCATGATGCAAACTTTAGCGGCGATGATACACCATACGTGCACAAGAAAAAGCGCGAAAAAATTCCATCAAATGCAGCGGCCAATGAGAAGAGCGTGGGAAAAGATGATGCTAAAAAGACCGTCGAGAAATCAAAAACTTTACCATTAAAGAAACAAATCAGGCACAAAGTTATGAAAGAAACAGCTAAAACAACAAAAACCGATCCCAAGCCAACGTCAACAAGCACAAAAGGTAGCGCCAGTCGAAATAGTGCATCTGACGCGAAAATCGAACAAGGTGACAATGATCCAGATAGTAATGCCGGCGAAACAAAGAAATCGACAAAAGTGCATGCAAATAATGGCCACAAATTGGCAGCCAAGAATCGTCGCTTGAAACTATTTGGATTTTATTCGGGACCAAAACGACATCGAATGGCTTCATTGAATGCACTGGCAAAAGTTCAATGTTTGTATGAGAACGAATCACGGACGGCTCAAGAGCTTGGTTTCGTCAAAGAGCCACAAAATGTGCAACGAATGAAAATTGTTTCGGATGCTGATAAGATTGAACCGAACCAAGCGACGGCCAAGAGCAGCCATGGCAAAGAGAAGGAAGTGAAAGCCGATATGGAGAAGAAAGGAAAGAAGCCGAAAAAAGATGGTGACAATGCAAATAGCGAAATAGTTCGTGATGACGTTGCTGTTAATAATCGAACTTTGCGCAAAGTGCCGGGTGTACGTGGTGAGGGCACAATGTGGGAAATGGAGAACAGCAGCATGGACGAATCTGACACGGAAAGGGAAGAAACACAAACGGTAAGTTACACATTGACTACGTTTTATAGATTTGATCAAATTTATCAGTTTGTTTATATATATTTTTTTCGGGTCGATTCGAACTTGTAGACGAAACCACAAAAAGCCAAAGTAAAAAAGAAACCTTTACCGAAAAAGTCAGTTGCATCGACCAAAAAACAGCCAAACACTGTCGGCAAAGATGAATCGAGTAAAGTGGCTCATAAAAAATTGAAAGCAACTCCAAATAAAGCGAAAAAGAAGAATGTCACCAAGGCAAAACCAAACAGCGATGACAGTGATAATAGCAGTAATGACAGCGATTCCGATCGTGAATCGCACACAACTGACCGAAAGCCTGTGCTGAAAAAATTTAAAAAATCCATAGCTCGCAAGGCTGCCACAGCATCAACCACCACCGTTTCCAAATCAAGCGATGTCAAAGAGGTGGTCGTTCGGAAGCGCATGGCAAGCTTGAATGCAAGTGCAATGATGGCAGCCACTTACGAGGTGGAACGTCAATTGGACAAATGCGAAGAGAAAATGTACAAAGTCAGTGCCGATGCAGACGAACGAATTACACCGCCGAAAAAAGCTAAGGAGATCAAAAATGAAGTATTCGAATTAAAAGATGTACGTATTTAATTCTCTCAAGAGGCATTTTGGATTTCGATGAGATTTGCTACTTTTTCGCATGAATGAATGTTTTCGAATCGATTTTTTTCTTCTTCTTTAGACAAAGCCCGTTTCGACGAACGTTGTAATCGTTCAAGACACTGACGTAACAATCACTGGAGTCTATGTTAATTCGACGCTTGGCTCGAGCCAAGAGGCTTATTGTAAGATGCAATATCGCGTTCAGTCTAGTGTAACTGAGGAGCGACTCGTTCGGCCAACGCCGCAAGAGCCACCCAAATCGTACACTCCACTGAGTGCATTATCGTGTATGCTGCCGCCAGGTAACGAATGTGGTGAGTGTGCTTATCACACCCAATGACAAACTAAGTTCGTGTTCAATTAACGCTACTATGTTTAATTTTAATTTATTAGATCCACACGGAGTACCAATTGGAACCCCGTCGTCGTCATCATCAGGTTTGTTATCGATGCCGCCACCCGATTGTGAGCCGCCGTATCGATATCCACCGATGTACGCACATCCACCACAAGGGACCATACATCCGCATTTACTTCAGCCACCGCCACCAATACATCATCCATCGAGTGCGTTTTGCCCAATGCCACCACAAGTACATCACGATCCCACTGGTGAGTGCAATGCAACTTTTTAAATTCAATTTTATTAAACTTCATTTCCAACATAAAGCAAAAACATCGCCTGCTTTTTCTATTGGCATGACAATAAATTTTTATGGTGTAAAGTTATTTAAAAAACGCTATTGTTTGCAGTCAGTAAGTTACGCCGAGGAAAAAAAACATAGTGTTCGAAACCAGTCCTATAATGGATTTTTTTTTTCTCTCTTGTCGCCTCATAGTTCAATCGGTGTTTTTTTTCAGCTCGATTTGTTGGTTTCGACGACAAAGAGACAGCTTGTTATATAAATCCAATGACTATGTTGCGGACACGAAAAATTGTATGCTCTCACAAAAAAAAACGAGTCTACCCGAAAAGGCTTTGGCAGCATTTTCGAATCGAGAGACAAATCCTCGTTTTTCATCTGTACACACAAACCGATCCGCATGAAATGTGATATCACATGCTGTGAAAGAGCAATTTATTCCTCCTGGCGGTTTTAATTAAACGGAAAAACTTTGTGTGTTCGTTTTTAATCTTTTTGTGTCTGCTAAAGTTTTTCCATCATTTTATTTTGGATTTGGCGGCCGTGTTTTTTTTCTCTCTCTCTCTTGCCTGTTTGTTTTTGGTTTTTCGAGAGACACAAAAAAATTACACCAACATAAATTGCCACCAAAAAGTTAAAGCTTAAGCGTTTACAAAAGTGTTGATTTCAATTTAACAAATGAATTATTCAGAAGCTTTTGTGTTTGATGCTCAATTTAAATCAAATTTAGTCGATGGGTGTGCTGTGTGTCTCGTTGTGGAATAGGGTTTGAATTGATTGGAATCAATACGCGGGCTTAAGTTAATCAATCGGTAATACTCCATTGTTCTGAATAACATGGAAAGCATCGACACGACACCCTTTTTTGTGTTATTGTTCTGTCGGCTTTCTAACACCAATTATGACAGACACAATTTCCATGAGTGCCTTAATTACAACAAATGAACAATTGATTCATGTGTTGTTGCGCTGGTGTATGAAGTACACGTTAAACGATAAATAAGCGTGTATGATATTCGGGCTACCATCCATTATAACTCTGACACTACTTTTCAAAAATAGAAGAAAAAAACAACAACAACCTGTATCAGTGCGTACCGCATATGGCAAAGTTCACTCAATTCACTCTCTCTCTCCCTCTCCCTCTGTTTCTCGTTCTCTTATCCACTAAATCTATTTGCTTTCATTTTGAATGCACCGTTTTATGACCTTGTGAATAACATCAATTTGTATACATTTATTTGACTCTGCGCAAAAACCAAAATGAAGTTAAAATTTGCGTTTATTCAGAGAGTGCGGGAGAAAACGTGATGAACGTCACAAATTGAATGCATTTTCAAATTTGGGACAAGTTAAAATAAAAATGCGCTTGAAACAGGTTGAAACAGGTAAGTAAAAGTTATACAAAAAGTGTTCCATTTTATGAAATTCTACAGAGTCATCGCAGCATAGCGAACACAGCTTCCTGAATCATTTCAAAAAAGCGTGCAGCTTTTTTTCCCCTTTGAATTGGAGAATATGATAGACATAATTCAACCTTCAGCAAAACAGCTTTTTAGGCGCGGCAAATTCTTTTCTTTCATTTTCTCGTTTGCAAACAAATCATACGTTCCCTTTTTATTTGAAAGTTATTTGATACACTGTACTACTATCGCTTTAACAAGTAAATTAAATATCATGAAGTGCTCCAAATGTACTACATCACTGTTGCACTTGAATATTTTTTGGGTGGAAAAACCAGAAAAAAGAATTCCAGACGTGACACACGAAAGGAGAGGATAAAATGATGAAATTATTTTCATATGCGTCGCATATATTATAAATACATGCATAAACACATTGGCAAACATGTGTGTTTTTGCCATTCTCGTGCCATTCTGTGGGGCTTCATTTTGGCTTTTCACATGTGTGAGATTTAAATTAAATTTGTGCCATATATTTACATTTCGCTGCACCCTTTCCATTATTCATGACTGCAAATGAATTAATTATGCGGCATACAACTCGACATTATGCTGTTTGTCTGTTGTCGAAAATCTCGTATGCATCGAGGACTCATCATTGTTATACTCTTTATAATTTACTAATTTTGATACTTGGTTATCGCGCAAGCACGTAAAATGAACACACACACTTTACATTGACTGGAGCGGTTTTTCATGTCACTCGCAATTGTGTCAAAAATCGAAGAAGGCTTTGATTTTATTCGCACCAAAAAGGTAACGGGATTCTTTTGCATAGTTTCAACTGAATATTACATTCTATGACATCACAATGGATTCGAGTGTATGAACGAGAAGCAACACTGAATTGCATGTTCAATCAAAAGGAATGTAAGTTTCGCATGATATACAAAGGAATTCACGTAAAGTGATAGCTTAAAGGTTCGACATCAATTGCGCATTCTTTGTCATTTCTGAAAAGAGTGTACTTTTCTTATTAGAGTGTGTCTTTGTGAACAGAGAGAAAGTTTGCATTAAACATTTATGCTTTTCTTTCACTCGTACCTTCGGTCGACTTGTGTTTGTGTTGCCCCCGTTTGAGACAAACATACATACGTATGATGTGCTTATGTGATGCAATGACGTTTTCAATGCAAAAGCACAAGAATCCACACAAGTATCAAGTGGTGTTGCTTTATTTCTTTTGCCAGTTCTTTTTTTTACTGCTTGACTCGTCATTTCATTCGACACATTTAAATACCATTATGTGTGTGTGTGTATGTGTGCTGAACTGCTTGATATGGTGCTTCAACCGGGGAAAATGAATAAAATATATATTACAATTGAATTGAAATAGTCCTGAAGCACTGGGTATAGCAAGCACATCGATGAGGTATTTTGTGTGAAGTGAACTCTTCATTCACTCTCGATTTCAATGGAAATCACTCGACGCTCGTTTCATTGAAATGCAAATATACACTTTTATTTGGCATGTCTCAATTGATTGCCACATTCAGCTTTTATTTCTAATACCGACGCTTCTTCTCTCTTTTTATTTTCATTATTTGAAGATATGATTCACTAGTACGCAGTAACGGCGACCATTTTATTGCTGCAACGAATTTCAAATGCGTTGTAATGCAACATATTGGTGTGGTATATCTAGTGGAATTCTCTTCACTTCTTCTGCATCGAAAAGAAACATTTTCCGATTACCATTTTTATGATTGCAGTTGGGGAATCGTAATGGTAAAAATTAACCAAAGTCAATTAGTATTGACGTATATCAAAGGAAATTTTACTGGGATATTTTTAGGATGGCAACCATATTCATATTGTTCCAAAGTATTGAATGTATCGAATCGTTGATGAGACTTCACCCTCTAAAAAAAAATTGAAACTACGACCACAATATACATGGTTCGAAAATAAAGTATGCAATGAAATCTCTTCGTTTGCTCGAATCAATTCCATTTTGAATTGGTAATGTTCTCGGGCACATTCGATGTTCATTTCGCACATAAAATCACAGTGTCGATGACTTTTTCGCCACACTCGACTGAGTCCGAATGAATCGTTGACTTTTCTCGTCAAATTCCCGTTCCCAAACACGTGGCTCCTCTATTGGTCTCTTTATTCGAATGGGAATAATTCTATTTTTTTTCTTCCTCTCTCAACTTCTTTTATGTGCGCTATCTTATGTTCCAGATCTGTATACACGCATTTTGGCGTGCAAAAATTTGCGCCAGCAAAGAGACGACGTGAATAGGGCAATGTACGCAACCGAATCGATCTTAAGTTGATCACTAATCGCGCTCATTAATTTGGCACTAGTGCATTGAACCGCTGTGTGACGTGGTCATTACTTGGTCGATATACTCGGTATTGCGTAAGATTCATGTGCGAAAAAAAAAATCAAATCGCACCCACTTCAACGCTATACTTGTTCGCTTAGAGCCCAATTTTCTATTGTATTTTGCGAATCTCTTCTTGCTCGTCATTATTCATGCCATTTCATGCTAACATAATTACCTCTTTCGGCACTTTGCCATTTTTATTGTTTTTGTTCCATCAGATTGATGTGTATTTTTTACTGCTGCCTCATGAATTCGGTTTTTTTTAAGTGTCATGACCGGCAAAACATTGGTGCAGAGGAATAAAAAAGAAGAAAATTTGTGTTGATGAGTTGAACGGAACTTTGACACCACCAAAACTGTTTGTTTCATTACAATTTGCCAAAATGTATCGGTATAACGGTGCCCAATCTCTTCCGTCGCTAAAGCATCGATGGAAAGATTGAAATCATAAAACAACATAGCAACATGTGAACATACTTTTGAATGTTAATCCAAATACACACATCAAATTCAATTCATTCGTGGGAGAATTTGCATTACTACGAAATCGTCATACGACAATCCACAAGTTCACTTCGTTCAACATCATTCGAAAGAGCAACAAGAGCGGTAGCGTAAATTTTCATGAGACGCAAAAGACGCACCACACACACAACGTTCAAAGACTACTTGCTAGCGTGAATCTATATGAAGTAATAGTGTGTTTGCTACTCAATATGTTCGGATGAATAACGCATACACAAGCGAAGGTTTCGTTCGTTGGCGCATGTGTTGTTTTTTTTCCCTTCTTTATTTGTGTTGTTTGAACAGCGTATCGTTATTCTAGTGTATAAGTTGGCTCAAACACCCATACAAATAGGCATTCGCGCGTTGGCTACACTGTTGAATATGATCGGTATACGATTCAAACGACGTACAAAGAGAGAAAAAAAATACGAAATCGAAATCAATTCACATCGCAATTGATTCAACGGCAGCGACAGCAGCAGTAGCAGCACTGATGTGGCGTTAAAGTCAGTTCATTTGAGAAGTGTATCGCTCAACGGCAGTGAACACACACAGTCAGAGAATTGCATGATTTTCAATTCTTTGGCGCTAATAATGCGCCTGCAAAATGCATCGAACTGGAAGTTTTTATGCACTGAGATGTGGCCTTTTGGCTACGATAT